TCCTTTTAAAATGGCATCTGGCCCATCATCCCTGAGGCAGTTTCTATGACTTCTGTTTGAAACAGCTATTAAGACACATGAAACTCACAGTATCACAGAAATCAAGACTGACAGACAGTCTATTACTAGAAAATGGGTGAATTTCTGCTAACTATAAAGCCAGAGAATAGGATTGAAAGGGGGAAATGTGGTTTTGTGAAAGAGAATAGCCTCACATTACTGAAAAAAAAGATAGGAAGATGTTTGGATTCCTTAGCTCTTTTTCTCTCATTCTTTAACTTCCCTTCCTTTCCTGACACCACCTCTATCCCTCGTAAGAAGTTGAGATCTTAAAGAGCAACCCTGTTCTTTCTCTTTTAGCATATCATGCCATTGCTCCTAATAGTTTAGTCATGTTATTGTTAGCCATGATGCCATTAGGTAGGATGTCGGAATAAGGGAAGTTTCAAAAGGGGTGTAATGTATTCTGGAAGTCTTGAAGTAAAGCACTATCATTTTACTGCTTGGGGGCAAGCCATGGGAAAGATGAAGGAGCAACACACACAGACGATCCTTACATGCTATGTTATGGCTCAGAGCTCTGGGATGAAAGATGACACTCATCCCTTTTAGTTTTTAATAGAAAACATCTTGAGAACCGGGAAAAGAGCAATGCACTGTAATTTACTTTTTATATCTAGGACTAAGATGAGGATTAAATTTATGAATAAAGGGACAGTAGCTGAAGCTAAGGATATCCTGCTGATTAGTTAACACTGTAGGGCAGTTAACGGTAGACCTTCACATGTGACAGGAGAAAAGCAGAACAGTCTGTTCTCCACTACTATCTAAAAAGAGAAACTAGAACATCAGAGAAGCAGAAGCAAGGACATGATTGTACAAAACAAAGGAAGAGTCTTTAAAAGTTATTAATTCCAGAAACTAAAATATTGAAAACTTCCTTTTGAATTAAATCAAAATGTAGCACAAGACTAGGTATGAATAGAAAACAACAACACAAGAGCAACACCTACTTAGAGTAAATGAGAAAAACATAAATTAAAGAATTGTAGGAGAAAATAATGGCTGTTGAGTCCAGCATACCAAAATATAACTTAAAAATCTGATCTAGACAGGGAAGTAGACATAGTAATTTAAACTGCAGAAGACTATTTAATGTGTCAGAAGCAGAAAGAGATGGATCACTAGTATAGTTAAGACAACCATTAATGTACAGCATAGAATTGAGATACCAGTCCTAAAAAAAGGAGGGGAGCAATACATTGTGAAAACTAAACACTGTCAGAGGAAAGGTAAAGCATTTGGAAGTTTGGCAATGAAAATTTACAGTAGATAAATCTGTTTTCTTTAAAGAAGAAACATGTCATTTGATTTGAAGCAATCTTAAAATAAGGAGAAAATGTGGTATATATTTCCACAGCTAATACATAAAAGAATTTCATAAAAGTGTACCAAGACACTCCCATGAGCTCACATTAAAATGACTCCCACTGAAGCATCCACTCCTAAAGGCAACAGTTCAGAGGAGCTGGGTCCACAATGAGGACACGTTTAATTTGCTTTCAAGCTTCTCCACGGCATAGTAATTGTACTTTAGACAATTGAACCATGTCTTTATAATACATATAAGGCAAATGTGAGGGAAAAGAAAAAATTCCTAGTAATTTAGTTGTCTTTTATGAAGATGTTTGAAAGACAGCTAGTAGAATAACTTCATGATAAATATTGTTTAATTGAGACTATTATGAAAAGCAAAGTCAATGAAACTCAAGTATTTCTAAATTCATGAGAATTATATGCATTATATTATACATGTATTTTTCCTATTACAGAAATCAGCAAATAGGATTTACTTATGAAAATTATGAAGTTCTTCTGCTAGATAAAACATATAATTTGACATTGCTTGCAATCTAATAGATACACAAAATAAGAGAGAATATATAAATACTATAATTAAACAATGAAAATAATTTATCCCAAAAAACATATATAAAGTAAGATAGTAGGATACTATTTCAGGCAGATATACTTTAAATTCATGGAAATGATCTTTGCATAGCAATATTTATAAGAACCTGGAAAATTTCCAGAAAAAAGAATAAAAATACAGATAAAATAGATCCAATCTAAGAAGGAAGGAGTAATAAGAGAAATATTTCATACTATGAACTACCAACTTAAGGATAATTCTTATTTCTAAAAATATGTGCTTGTGACTATGGCAAATTGTAATATTTTATTACTGTCACAATCTCATGTTAGGAGTGATAAATAACAACATAAAAAGACTATATATGAATGAAAGTAAATTTTTCCATGAATCAAATTTTAATGTCATCATATGTCTCAACACCTTTCCTAATGCTGTGACCTTTTAATACAGTATTTCTTGTTGTAACACTCAACCATAAAATTAATTGGTTGTGCTTTATAACTCTAAATTTGCTACTGTTATGGGTCCTAATATAAATATCTGTGTTTTTTGATGGTCTTTTTTTTTTCATTTTTTAAATTTAAATTAAAAACAAATTTGCTTCACATGTCAATTCCAGCTCCCTCTCCCTCCCCTCATCTCCTGCCCCCCCCTAGGCCTCCAAGCCTCCCTCCCAATCCCCACTCTGATACCCAGGGAGAGTGAAGCCCTCCGTGGGGCATATCCAGAGTCTGTCATTACATCCAGGGCAGGGCCTAGGCTCTTCCCCAAGAGTCCAGGCTGAAAGAGCATTCCTCTCTGTTGGATGGACACCCAAAGTCCATTTGTATGCCAGGGATAAATACTACCCAAGGCTCCAGAGATTACCTAGGCCTCCTCACTGACACCCACATTCAGGGGTTCTGGGTCAGTCTCATGCTGTCCTCCCAGCCATGAGTCTGGAGTCCAAGAGCTCCCCCTTGTTCAGATCAGCTGTTTCTATGGTTTAAACCAGCCCAATCTTGACCCCTTTGCTCATCAGTCCTCCCTTTCTGTCACTAAATGCCAGGGGTTCAGTTCAGTGTTTAGCTGTGGGTGTCTGCCTCTGCTTCCATCAGTCACTGGATGAAGGTTCTTTTTCCCAGACTCTATGGCAATGGGATTGTATGCTGGCACTCCCCCTGATTCATGTCTAAAATCCATATATGAGTGAGTACATACCATGTTTGTCTTTTTGTGACAGGGTTACTTCACTCAGGATGGTTTCTTCTAGTGCCATCCATTTGCCTGTGAAAGATTTCTTTGACCTCCAAAAGGGTCACAACCCAGAGGTTGAGAACTACTTTGCTAAATGGAGGGTAACATGACTAAAGTGGCAAGTATAATCAACAGTCATGTGGGGAAAGAAGACATTGATGAACTTTTCAACTTAAAATATACTGGATATATTTGATCAAATACAAAACAATGTAATGAGACAAAGAAAAAAAAGATAAAAGAGAATTTAATTAAACTTGGAAAATTAGAAACAATTATTAGCAAAGTAACTGAACAAATTCACAAAGGAAAAATTTTATGTCAAAATTTACAATTCCTGATAATTGTAAATGTAATGGAACTAAAAGGTAAAACCATAGAGTTGGTAATTTTGATTAAGTCATAGAGTTTATAATTAATGTAAGTTGTAGAGCTTATAATTATGTTTGAACTATAGGATCCATTTTGACAATCTATGAATACAACGTGAGAGAATTTATCCCATATGAAAAACTAATAATGCAATTCATTTGTGCTTGAGATAATTAATTTTCATTGTCATCTTTACTAGGTTTAGGATCAGTCTTCGAAGAGTCATATCTATGAGTATGTTTCCAGATAGGCTTACCTGAGGAAAGAAACTCTGAATGTATACCTTTGCTGACAAAAATGGGAGGGTATCACAATTCATGAACCTCTCTCTGTTTCCTGACTGTAGCTGCAATGTGATCAGCCAGTTCGTAATCCTGTAACTCTCTCTTCCCTGCTATAGTGGACTGTACTTTCAAACTGTCAGGTCAAACAACCCCTTCTTTCCTGAAGTTGTTTTGTCAAATATTTTGGAACAGTAATATAAATATAAAACATTAATGGCTTTTTCAAAACTGTAACATAAGAATAATAGAATGAAACCTTTCCTGGAAAAAACAGGGGAAGGATAATAAGAAGGGTGTCAATCAGGAACAGGAGTTATGCATAGAAATAAAACTTTTACAGTTCAAGATAAAAATATTAGATGTAATAAACCTGTGTGTGATTAATCATGGTTATTTCTGTTTTAAAGATTAGGGGTAAATTTAATTTGTGCTTCGAGTAATTCTTTGTTTGCTTATGTTTTTTTTTACATTTTTTGTTCATAAGTGAACCTGAGTTGTAATTGAACATTGGGAATATGTGTGCTCATGTAAGCAGAGGTCAGGGAAGGAGCATTAGTACTAGGTAAGAAGAGCAGTGCAAGGAAAAACAAGAGGCTTGATGTTCAGCAACTCTGACTGAAGTTGGGATTTGAGTACACAGTGATCTGCTAGGCTGATGTCCACTTTTATAACACAGGGAGTTTTCTAGAGCTAAGAGTGCCTGAAGTGGGACACACCCCCTTCTAGACAGAAACACTTATCATCTTTGGTCTAAAGCTGATCAAATCTCAAGAGAAAATGAACAAGATTGGAGACCCACCATAACGAAGTTGACTCCCTACCGTTATGAACCATCTTTGTTTTTATATGTATATCTGTCATTATCCCTCTTTAGATGACTCATTTAAACACACACACACAAACACAAATAAAGAAAAATGCGTACTGTATTTGTCTCCAAATGAAAGTAAGCACAAAGCACACCAATATAGCAAACCAGACAAGCAAGCACTGAAAACCCCAGCATTACTATTCCAATAGAGTTCTCCAGTGCTATTGCCTAGAAATTGCTTGTTGAGGCATCAAGGCTCTGCTTTGTCAACTTACAATTATCAGTTTACTAAAATCTCCAAGAAGTCCCATGCTATGGAAATACATTTGCCTAGTAAATGTTAAGTTTTCCAATGCAATACCTGATAAAAGTCTTCCAGAAATACTGTCCCATAAGTCATCCCTGGGAAAATGCTTCCTTGTTCTTGATGTCTGGAAAGGAGAGGAAGCACATGTGGAGTTATGGACTGAGAGAATACTGTAAAGGTAAATACTGAAAATTCCTAAAGATTTCACACAGAAGTTTGATTATTAACATCTTATGTTATTGTTTTTCATTTATTACAATTAATGAACCAATATTAATATTTATAGTTGCTAGAGTCATACTTTTTCTAAATTTTTATTTTTCATTTGTTTTTTTAAACATTTTGATTATTTTAATTTAATTATGTCATATTTTTACTAATTTTTATCTCTTGGTTCTGTTTCCCTTGCCCTTTTCTGTCTTTCAGGCAGGGACCTGCAGCAGCTATATAACACTCAGGACAGTTCCGTGTGCACCGCCGGCTTTGGGAAATATTCATTTAATTCTATAAACAACTGCCACTTTCCAAGGTTCTAGGTTAATGCTAAGTCTCCTGTAACTTTGCCATAAACCTTTCTCAAGAATAAAAAGAATGCTTTATCTGAAAACAGTTGCACCTAAAAGCATGGAGAGCATCAGGATGATGGAAAACATCAGTGAAATGCTAAAACACAATTCACATGTAACCATTCTCATTATTATCAAAGGTTACAATTTCATCAGAGGTTAAAGTTTTAAGGAGACTATTTCCATCTCAGTTCCTGGTTGTAAAGTCAGAAGCTGCAGAGACTAATTAGTTCAATCTATAGTAAAAAGCTATCGGCAGAATTAAGTTTGAACTTTAAAGTCTGCATCCAGGCAGAGTTGTTAATGATATTTTTATATTCCAGACTAAATCGAAAAATCATTGGCTATTTTACAGTGCAATAAAATATAAACTGATAAAATGAATGGTTAGATGATATGAACACAGACATTTCCCATGGACAGATGCAGTCTTGAGCCAACAAGGTCTTCTTTTACATTCATCAACATTTGACAGTGTTACCTTACTTTCCAAGTGTAAGTAAAGCAATACAAATGCTGGTGGAAAAGTGCTCTGTTGTGACTCTACAAGCGAAAAGCACCAAAAAGTGCTGGAAAATAATTCAGAAAGTGAAGTGCCCTCAATCAGCACCATTCTAACATTTATCATTCTTTCACTTTTTCCTATCATTAGAGTCTAATGTTTCCTCCTTCCTTTTCCCACATAATGAAGTACATTTAATTGCATAGAAATGCTTTGGATCTTATAAGTTTCACAAAGACTCTGGACTATTTACTAATTCATTATCTTTAATAAATGCGCATTTAGGCATTCTCTGCAAACTGCTATTTGTCATACTTCTGGCCATTGTTCAGTCCATCCTTCTAGTTCTACCATTCTACCAGGGAGACTTCTCAAAGGGTCTAAACTTTAGAGTCTAAAGCCTGTTGCATTCAGCAGAACTTCCTATGAGGACAGAAATCTCAGTCTGCAGTGTCCAGGATGGAAATACCAGTTCTTTGTGGCTATAGAGTAATTGAATATGAGAATTAAATGGAGGACATGGGCTGGAGAGATGGCTCTGTAGTTAGGAGCAGCTGCTGCTCCTGCGGAGGACCTGATTCTGTTTGTATCACCCCCATAGCAGCTCACAATCACTTGTAACCTTAGATCCAGGAGAATGTAACATCTCTTCTAACATTCAAGGGCATCTGGCATACACACTTACATACATGCAAACAAAATGCTCAGGAATACAAAAAAAACCTTAGTTTTGTGAAATCTAATTGATATAAATTAACTTGAAGCGCATATGATTAATGGCTACCAGATCAAATAGTACAGATCTAAAAGTTATTTTATTCTGTTCTCTAAAATGTAGACTTCATAAAAAAACTTTAAGTTTCTTTTTCATTATAGTCTAGTTACTGAATCCAGAAACTTTCTGTCAGTTATCCATGAGGGAAAAATATATTTTGATGCCAGATTTTTTTGAGAAATCAGTATAGACAAAGTATACACAAACTTTGGGACAAATTCCCTAGTTTTTTTTTAAAGTTGGAAAAACAAGTATAATTAAATTCTGATATCTCTCAGTGCTTCTGTTCTTTAATTGTAATCTTATGTTTCTTAACTATGGTCATAATCTGGATCCTACTTGGTAATTTACTGTACAATGACATGAACTATATAAGGTCTTATACATAGAAAACCTGCATGTGTCTACATAGACTGTAGTTCAGTGAGTGATACTTATGTACTTATAGTAAAAATATGGATACTGAAATCCTAAGGGAACTCACCTTAGTCCAAAATATCTCCTTCTCTTTGCAATATGTAACTTAACTTGAAGGAATGTCTCAAGACCACCTTACTCATCAACACAGTGGCCAATGGGTATATTACTCTCACTGGGAGTCATTTTCCTCCACTGAGATTCTGTAAAGCATAAATTACCTTTAAGCAAACATAGCTACCAAATATTCAGGTCTTGATATATCCCATGTCCTTAGTTGAACAGTTTTTCCATATCATGACTACACTAACCCTGAGGATAGAAAACTACCTTCAGCATCCTTATGTTGCCGGGAAGTTATCTGGAGTAGCCCAGGTGAAAAGTAGTTTTGATAGGTCAGAGATATAGCTCAGTCATTAAGAACACTTGCAAAGGTCCTATGTTCAAGTCCCAGAACCCAAAAAACAGCTCATAATCATCTGTAAATCCACTTCTGGGTAACCTGATGTCCACCTCTGATTTCTTTAGGCACTTGGCACACAGATGGTGCATTTAACATAAACACAGCAAACACTTATGCACATAAAATAAATAAAGTAAAATTAAGCTTAAAACAGAAAAGTAGAGCCAATAAAGTTTGAATCTATGAAGCTGAACACCAAAATGTTTGTGTACCTTGATATCAGTCCTTACATTACTCTGACCTGATAAACACTGAGGAAGTTCATGATTTTCCAGTGTGTGACTTCCTCTCCATCTTAACATGGACTTGACCCGCTAAACGGTTGAGAAATACACAAACATTTTTAATATTTGAAAAAGACACTTTGAAAAAACACAGAAACATGAATTAGATGTTCAAAGAATGCTTCCTCTGCTGGCAACAGTGCCCTAGGGGTAGCAGGATTACAAAATGAGTCTCCAGTGAAGGGGCTGACATATCTTTAGAGACCTAATTTATTCTGAATTGTTCTCAATTGCTTTCTATTTGAAACGATGGTAGTGCTCCCAGTGGTACCTAAACAGGACGGATCATGGATGGTTTAGAAACACAGTTTATTAGATACAGAGAATTCAGCAGTGTAAAAGTGGCCATGATGGTGCAAACAGCAAGTGTTAATTAAATACAATTTATCAGATACTCAAGCTAGGTTTAATCTGTGACTATTGGTTTGTATTCTTTGCATGTTATGCTGGAAACATCTCTAAACAGAAAATGGTATTTTTATGTTTGTTCTGAGCTCAGAAAATGGAAGCAAGGGGATTTAATATAACTGGACCAATGTCAGACAAATGGTGAGTGGAGGTACCAGGAAGCAAACCCAGACATTCCTCATTTCTCTGTTGGCAACTCTCCCTTCAGAACAAAATGATATATGCAGACAAAGAAAGCTTGTCCTCATGTGGCCTTGATTATAAAGTGAACTGCTGTTTTCCTCAGAAAAGGTTGCTCAACTAGAAGGAAGAAAAGAAGAAAACATACATACAAGCAAAGTACATAATAATGGAATGATTTTAAAACCACCAACTAGAAAGATGAATGAGAATCAGATTACGTTTACATGAAGACGTAAGAAACCTAGGCTATGAACAGTGAAGTGATTTTTCATACACAAAAGAATTCAAGTTTCTGCAAATATGACTTTTAACACACTTGTTACAATTTTTAAGTAGAATCAATTCTTAATTCTGATTAAAACATGGAGAGCATGGGAAAATACTGAGAAAGCACACAGACTCCTGTACTTATTTGAAAATAACTGCAAGAGAATGAAACAAAACAAATTAAATGAACAAAAACCATCTAATTTAATTAGTTTCTACATGTCATTTTTGAAGGATCTATCTTTTAATAAATTATAGACTCATCATATAATTACATGTATGTGTAGGCAGGTATGATAAGTCAGGGTGGATACCCACAGAGTCCAGAAGAGAGTGTCAGATGTCCTGGACCTAGAATTATAGCCAGTGAGAACCACCTGATATGGGTGCTGGGAATCAAATCTAGGTCCTTTGCAAGAACAGGGTGTGGTCTTGATAGCCAAGTCATTTCTCCAGCAAAGGCTCCTCACAGAATCTTTCTTTAAAAGATTCCAAAATAACATGAAGAGGGGTAAATACCCTTGGTAATAAAAAAGTAAATACAAGAGTTCTTAATAGAGTAAGGCATTCTGTTACATTCGACTACTGCCTTCCATGGGCAGTGAGTGGTAGTGTCTGAATTCAGGGTGTTTTAGACATTTACTTGTTCTGATCTTTCTCTTGACCTTCTCAGAAATGTTCTATGCCAGTAGATACCCAGAGCATCCTAATAGAAAACAAACACCTCTACACTTAACAAAGTTTAATCGGTCAGGTAAAGGCATCCAAGAGTGATGCATTTTTATGAGTAGTACCCATTTTCCCACATCTGAACAGCCATTAAATGATAGCTGCAGGGTCAAGCTGTATGAGGAAAACAGTACTCCAGCATTAGCCATGTGACTTATTAGAGGCACATACAGATGAGGTAATAAAAGGGTAGTTTACCACACCGCTAACCACACCCACTTTAGGCATGACTAAAGACATATACAGAAAAGAATAAAACTAACTTTGTTTGTACTTATCAATTGACTTTCTACATTCTTACTGACTATTTAGGAATTGTTAACACTATCATAGTTTGCTAAATTTATGGACAGGCAATGCAAGTAAGCTAGAGAAAACAAAGGTCATTCAGAAATTGAAAGAGAACCTTATGATGAAATCAGACACGATGATGTATTTGCTTTGTGTAAGCGAAAATGTGAAATTACAGCTTTCTCAAAAGGAACTGAGGCTAGTGACTCCAAAGTAATTTGTATCCAATTTTACATGATAGTTCTCCGACTGTAGATTGGACATGGTAAACGTTTCTGATATGTAGGTATACTACTCAGAAACTCATTTTTTCTTTAAAAAGTTCTAGGATTTTGATAGTTTTCTGACTACTCCCACTAGATGAACCTGCAAATAACATTAGATTGTTAAGTAAAACCATTTTGTACATGTTAGGGTAGAGATATCATTAATTTATGTATCTTAAAAAGAATGCTGCCTGTGTCTCAGGCTTCAAGTAAAATTCACATGAATGAGGGACATGGGAGGAAGAGGGAATACCTGCTTTAGTCCAGTTGTTTCTCTAATGTATGTTTCCCCAAAATGATACCTTCACAGACTACCTACACCAATCATCTCTCTATATACCCCTCTCCCTATGTCTAGTTGCTTGTTTTTCCAATTTTCTTTCCCCAATCCTTTTATTCTTCCCTAATATTCTATCCATCTTCCTCTCCTTAAGTCTTCATAAAGTCTTTTAGTAAACAATAAAAATAGCAACCAAATATTTTATGTGACGGTTAGAAGGACCATCAGGCAAATATTTTGTAATAATAGTACTTACTGGTAGCAGAGCTGATGTTAAAGTACTTCATTTTCTATGAAGTAAAACTCAAAATCTGAAATACAATCAGGTATATATTAAAATGTAAAGATATTGCCAGTGAATGAAATCCACTTAACTCACAACAATATACTTAAACATTTTTCCTCTAATTGAAATGCCAACAAATACTCCTCATATCATTTAATATGCAAGTATGTAGATTATTTCACTTTAGCATAGTAGGCATGACTTTCACTATTAAAATAGCCAGGTTATGGACACTCTTCCAGGAAACATAAGCATTAATAGTTATACACTAGAGGGTCTAGTAATATGTAGATGTAATAGTTTTGCAATTCAAATTAGTGAATATTTGTATTTTATAAGTCTTAGCGATTATAGATAGATAAATAGATGATAGATTGATTGATAGATGGATAGATAGGATAAAGAGAATATACCTACTATTTCTCCCATGGTAAAAAAGAACACAAAGCTTAAAATAGACACAAAAAATATCCATTGTACCTTCTGATGAAATCAGAGAGTCCTAGCTTCCTGACGTCTAAGCATTTTCAGCCAAGTCTTGCATCAAATGATTCCAATGGTCTTCTTACATTTTGGGGTGGTGGAATCATGTGGTGGTTAGGGTAACACAAATCTCTCCTAGAAACAAATTTAGATATTGCTGCAGGACATCTGTCTCATCAACACTGAACACCAGTCCTACTAGATATGTATACCTATCCTTGCAAGAATAAAAATACCTGAACAGAATTTCTGGACATTAACATTTTCATTCAAATTTATATCTCAAAGGGGTATGAATGTCGTCTTCCTGTAGATAAAGGCATATCCATGTAGGACTTCAGCCTGGAGTGGCCTGTTGAAATGTTAGCTAAATGTCTGAAGACTAGGGTATCACATCTGGGCATCTGTCTCTATGAAAAACTGCTTAGGGACACAAAGTCCATAACAGCCTATGAAAAGTAAATCACCAGAACCAAATAATGAAACAGCCAAGTAGCCAGAAAGAGCACAGATACCTTAATGGCTGTCATTTTTAAATCTCCGGCTCATGCTTCCTAGATAGTTCATGAACTGTTGTCAGTCAACATTGTTTATTTTGAGGACCCAAGCTTCCATTTTGTAATGATCTCATTTTTGAAAATGATTATTTGTGAAGCAGTAAAGGAATTGCTATAATTTAGTAAATTTTTAGCTGGATTACAATCATTTTAACATGGCAGAATATTGTGTAATATAACTTGATCGAAAATGAAACCAAACCAAAGGAAAACAACAAAAACAACAACAACACACACACACAAAACACACACATGCATATACACACACACACACATACACACACACACACACACACACACACACACACACACACACACACACATGAAATCAGGGCAGAAAATACTTGGATCAAAATAATTTTAAAAGCACTGTGTGAAAGAGATGATTTTGCAATGAAATAGTTACTTTGCCATTAGAGTATGTTTTTTAATTAATTTTTATTTTTACTAAAAACAAACTTATTTGCCATTAGAGTATTTCAATTTTGATCATAGACATGATTTATAGCATCTCTTATTTGATTGACAATGTACCTCCAACACTGTTATAAAAAGACTTGCATTTTCTGTTAGTAACTATGCTTCTTTTGTTGAGAAGCACTTGTAAATATTTTATGCTATTTTCAAAGATGGAGATTTTGACTTTCAATATCACTGTTATTCACTTTTATGCCCTTAAGATTTTTGCAGGTCATTTTACCTAAGTTTTAAGATATTTCCAGTAAATATTAGCAGCGACCTACATGTACTGAGTGTTAATTTGTGGTATTCACACTTGTTTTATTGCCTTGGTTCTGTAAAATAATTCAATGAGATTAGAATCATATTTTTATGAATTAGAAAACAGAGACACAAATCATTTTGGAAGTTGGCACAGCTATGAAATGGCAGATTGTGAACAAAGAACTACAACCCTGAAGGCTACTTTAATCTATTTTTGACATATACTGACTTTTAAGCAAAGCATTTTGCTTTTACTAAATCAAACAAATGAATTAAAGTAATGATGTGTAGGATTTGGGAAATTGATGTGGTTTAAAATTAGTTAAGGGGACCAGCTGTTCCGGCGGATCCAGGTAAAACAGACCCTGCACCTGGGCCTGTGTTCCAGTGCCTGGGGATTGCCTGGGAACTGCACAGAGCTTCCAATGCCAGCAGGAGCCAAGTACCCCATATTCCAGGTTCCTCTCCCACCAACGAGACCAGGAAACCAGAGGAACCAGGGAGACCAGGGGACCAGCTGTTCCGGCAGGTCCAGGTAAAACAGACCCTGCATCTGGGCCTGTGTTCCAGTGCCTGGGGATCACCTGGGAACTACACAGAGCTTCCAATCCTGGCAGGAGCCAAACACCCCAGACGCCAGGTCTTCTCTACCAACAACCAGACCAGGAAACCAGCGGATACAGCAAAGGGTCCAGGGGACCAGGTGAGAGGCTAAGCACCCCAGATTCCTGGTCTTTTTCTCTACCCAAGGGACCAGAACAAGGACAAGGAAGAGAAGAACTACCAGATTATTGGACTTGCTAGCACCCACCAAAAGCAACTCTGGTCCCATAACCACCAGACCAGTAAGGGGCTCTTTCTGCACCCACTAGAAGAAGAGATGGGAAAGAGACAATGCAAAAGCACACTCAGCAAAAGAAAAACAAATATGATACCACCAGATTCTAGAGACTCCATACCAGCAAGAATCCAACATTCCAATGCAAATGAAGGAGAAGAGAATAACCTTAAAACCACTTTCATTAAAATGATAGAGGCCCTAAAAGAGGATATAGGAAAATCCCTCAAAGAAACAGATGAAAAACAAACCAAAAAATGCAAGAAATGGAAAAAAACAAACCAAAAAATGCAAGAAATGGAAGGAGAAACAAACCAAAAAGGGCAGGAAATGGAAGAAAAAACAAACCAAAAAAGGCAGGAAATGGAAGAAAAAGCAAACCAAAAAATGCAAGAAATGGAAGAAAAAGCAAACCAAAAAATGCAAGAAATGGAAGAAAGAAGCAAAAAATTCATTAAATGCAACAGTTGGACAAAAGATAAACCGAAAATTGCAAGAAACAATGCAAACAGTGCAATGGTTGAAAACTTAAATAGAGACAATAAAAAAACCATAATCTGAAGAAAGGCTGGAAATAGAAAAGCTGGGCAAATGGTCAGGTACTACTGATACAAGCATTACCAACAGAATACAAGAGATGGAAGAGAGAATCTCAGGTGTTGAAGATACACTAGGAGAAATGGATTCATCAACCAAAGAAAAGTGTAAGTCCAACAAATGTTTAACACAAAACATCCAGGAAATATGGGACACCATGAAAAGACCAAACCTAACAAAATAGGTATAGAAGAACGAGAAGAAAACCACCTCAAAGGGGCAGAAAACATATTCAAAAAATCATAGAAGAAAACGTTCCCAACTTTAAGAAAGGCATGCCAATGAAGGTACAAGAAGCTTACAGAATACCAAATAGAGTGGATCACAAAAAAGAAGTCCCCTTGCCACATAATAATAAAGACCCCAAACATACAGAATAAAGAAAGAATATTAAGAGCAGCTAAGGAAAAAGGCCAAGTAACATATAAAGGCAGACCTTTCAGAATTATACCTGACATCTCCATGGAAACTCTGAAAGCCAGAAGTTCCTGGGTAGATATTCTATCAACACTAAGAGACCATGTATGCCAGCCCAGACTACTCACCCTCACCCTCAAAGACAGACATTACATGAGAGTTAAAGGTTGGGAAAAATTTTTCGAATCAAATGGACCCAAGAAATAAGCAGGGGTAGCAATCCTAACAAATTAGACTTTAAAATAAAATCAATCAAAAGAGATGAAGGAGGTCATTACGTACTCATCACAGGTGAAATCCACCAAGATGAAGTGTCTATCCTGAACATCTATGCCCCAAATGCAAAGGCATCCACATTCGTAAAAGAAACATTATTAGCACTTAAGTCACATATAAAGACCCACACACTTATAGTGGGAGATTTCAACACACCACTCTCACCACTAAACAGGAATACCAGACATAAAATCAACAAAGAAAGAAAGGTTCTAATAGAAATTAATGACCCAACTGGGATTAACAGACATCTATAGAACATTTCATCCACATAAAAAAGTATATACCTTCTTTCCACCACCACATGGAACTTTATCAAAAATTGACTACATGCTTGGCAACATATCCAACCTCAGCAGCATCAAAAAAATTGGAATAACTCCATGCATCTTATCAGACCACCATGCTTTAAAATTAGAATTCAACAACAACACAAATTGCAGAAAACCTACAAACTTGTGGAAATTGAATAATGCACAACTGCACCATTCCTGGGTCAAAGAAGAAATAAAAAAAAAATTAAAGACTTCCTCGAATTCAATGAGAATGAAGATACAACATACCCAAACCTATGGGACACTTTGAAAGCAATGCTATGGGGGAAGTTCATAGCACTAAGTGCCCACATGAAGAAACTAGAGAATAGTTATACTAGAGAACTAACAGCACAGCTGAGAGCTCTAGAACAGGAAGAAGCAAACTCCCCCAGGAGGAACAGACGCCAGGAAATAATCAAATTGAGGGTTGAAATCAATGAAGTTGAAACTAGGAAAACAATACAAAGAATCAATGCAATGAAGAGTTGTTTCTTAGAGAAAATCAACAAGATGGACAAACCTTTGTCCAAACTTACCAAACAGCAGAGAGTGAACATGCAATTTAACAAAATCAGAAATGAAATAGGGGGAAATTCAGAGAATCATCAGGTCATAATTTGAAAACCTGTACTCCACAAAATTTGAAAATTTAAAGGAAATGGACCACTTCCTAAATACCTATCACTTGCCAAAATTAAATCAAGAACAGATAAGCAATTTAAATAGACCTATAACCCCTATGGAAATAGAAGCAGTCATCAAAAGTCTCCCAACCAAAAAAGCCCAGTTCCAGATGGCCTCACTGCAGAATTCTACCATAAATTCAAAGAACAGCTTATACCAGTTCTTCTCAAGGTATTCCATGCAATAGAAGCAGAAGGTTCTTTGCCAAACTCTTTCTATGAGGCTTCAATAACCTTGATCCCCAAGCAACACAAAGACACAACTAAGAAAGAGAACTTCAGACCAATATCCCTCATGAACATTGATGCAAAAATAGTCAATAAAATACTGGCAAATCAGATCCAAGAACACATCAAAACAATCCTTCACAACTATCAAATATGTTTCATCCCAGGGATGCAGGGATGGTTCAACATACGAAAATCCTTCAACGTAATCCACCATATAAATAAGCTGAAAAACAAAAATCAAATGATCATTTCACTAGATGCTGAAAAAGCCTCTGACAAAATCCAACACCCCTTCATGATAAAGGTCTTGGAGAGATCTGGGATAACAGGAACATACCTAAACATAATAAACGCTATATACAGTAAACCAACAGCCAACATCAAACTAAATGGCTGAGAAAGAAATCAGAAAAACATCACCCTTTATAATTGCCACAAACAACATAAAATACATTGGGGTAATGCTAACCAAACAAGTGAAAGACCTGTATTGCAA